GTGCTTCTAAAGAACAATGCGGAATCGGGCGTCAACATTGTAGCCAAGGTGATGTGTGCAACGTTGTAATGCAAGAAGAAGAAGAATATGGGTTGAATATCAGGAGCACCGAATTTCGTGCCCGTTGGTTTTCTATCGCCGAAGAATTAAGCGCTTCAGACTATAGGACATACGGAGGTTATGACGACACAATTGCTTGTATTGTCGTCAGTGTTGTATCGGTTACCGAAAAAAAGTAACTACATACGTTACAATAGCACTTTGCTTGGGCGAGTTGGCACATACTTGGATAGGATTCAGCGCAAATTTGAAGATAACAAAGAAGACACACAAAACACAGATGAGCACTGACAACTGAGTTTATTTGCACATCAACAAGCCTTAATGCGCTGAAACTTTGCAATATCATACAGGCAGCTTTCGGCGCATAAAAAGGCTTGATGTGCAAAAAAATCAGTTGTATAAGTCAGCACTCATCTGTATTCTGTGTGTATTCTTTTTCTTCGTCAAATTCGTGCTGAAGCTTATCCGAGTAAGTACGTTACTCACTACTCCAACAAAAAAGAACGTGTCATGCCTTATCTCGCAAACAAATGTACCAAGTTACGGATACCATTACCGAAAAAGAAAAGCGGATGTTACCTCTGGCGTTACTACACAATCGTAAACTTCAATCAGTGTGTCTTCGTTACAGGAACTCGCAATAAAATTTGTTTATGGCACAAGTTTATGTTTCACATAAAATATTTATTCCGAAAAAGAACTGTATTGAATTGCTAATTTGTAAAACATTATTTGTGCAAATGTACTGGACCTTACCAATGTTTTAAGAGGTTCATTTGATGCGTATTGACTTTGTGGCACATGGCGAAGCCATTTTTCTTTATGTAACACTCTAAAAAATATCAGATTGAATCATCCACGCTAGCACAAAGAAAGCATCACTTAACTTTCAAAAAATTTACAGTGATCTGCTTTTGGCGGGTCCGAAGAGCCCCTCCAGTGAAGATCGTCGAAATCAAAATTGGTGGTCTTTGGCCTCTGAATGATCCCAGTAGGTAATCGTGGAGACCTGTATTCGCGCTTTTTAGTTGTCTGGAGGAAAGGGGATTTGCATGCATTGCCACAGGAGTTCTTTATTCAAATAAATGTAGCTGGTAAAATGGAAGTATACCATAGCAATAATGAAAGGGTGGTAGGTATCGTAATCAAACTCATTAGGAGATACAAGATGAATGTGGTACAGGCTTATGCACCTATACGTCCAGCTGTGATGACGCGCCACTTGAAAGCTTCTATGAAGACGTGAAATCGGCAAGGAGCAAGGTAAAACACAGTATACTATACTGATGGGAAACAGAATTCAATGCAAAAGTAGGGAAGAAACAGTCTGGAGGCCAGACAGTAGGAGATTATGGCATCGGTACTAGAAATGCCACAGGGAAGCTAGTGGTATAATTCGCAGAACGCAATGATTTATGAATTTCAATTTTAATACCGATAGTGAGGGAACCGTAATGGACATGAAGGAGCACTAACGGTGAAAATAAGAGCGAAATAGACTTTATACTGAGTGCACACCCAGGCATCGTGTAGGATGTGGAAGTGCTTGACAAGGTATGATGCAGTGACCATAGAATGGTAAGGTCTCGAATTCACCAAGACGTGAAGAAGGAACGACAGAAACTGATACGCAAGAAGCTAATCAATCAGCTGCCACTGAGAGGGAAAGTACAGAAATTCAGAGTCTCGCTTGAGAACAGATACTCGGCTCTGATTGAGGAAAGCAGCCTTAGAGTGGGCGCAGTGAATGATAATCTGACGAGTATAATTACGAAGTGTGAAGTGGAAGTTGGAGGTACGTTAGTTAAACAGGAGACCAGCAAGCTGTCCCAGCAGGCAAAAAATCTCATTAAGAATCGCCAAGTCAAGAAAGCCTCAGCACAATACACAAAATAGAACTGGCAGAAATTTCAAACTTGGTTAATAGGCGTGATGTATCAAAGCTAAGAACTTAATAATGGAAATAGCATCAAAGTGGTGAAGAGGAAACTTGAGGTAGGCAAAAACCAGATGTATGCACTAAGAGACAAGAAAGGCAAAGTAAATACCAATAAAAATAAAATAGGTAAAATAGCAGAGGAGTATTAAAGAGATCTGTACCGTAGCAGAGACAACCACGACTATAATGTAAGAACTTTCAGTAACCCTGATGACATTCCGCCTGTAATGACAGAAGTCAGAAAAGCCTTGGAGGAAGCGCAGAGAGGCGAAGCTGCTGATGAGGATCGGGTAACATCAGATCTGATGAAAGACGGAGGACAGATTGGGTTAGAAAAACTAGCCCCTCTGTTTACGAAGTGTCTCCTGATGGGGAGGGTACCAGAATCTTGGAAGAATGCTAACATCATCATAATACATAAGAAACGAGATGACAAGAACTTGAAGAAAACAGGCCTACCAGCATGCTCATCTCGTTAAAAGCTGTTTACAAAGGTATTTGCTAACAGAATTAAGACAACATTACGATTCAATCGACTAAAGGAACAAGCAAGATTTCGAACAGGCTACTCAACAATCGACCACACTCATACTACCAATGAGGTAATAAAGAAATCCTCAGAATACAGCCAACCACTATACATAGCCTTCATAGATTACGAGAAGGCATTTGATTCAGTAAAAATGTCAGCAGTAATGCAGACACTTTGGAATCAGGGCGTCCACAAAGCATAAGTAAGCATCCCGGAAGAACTATACAGAGGATCACCAGCCACCAAAGTGCTCCATAAAGAAAGCGAGAGAATACCAGTCAAAAAGGGTGTAAGACAAGTGGATACAATCTCTGGAATGCTATTTACAGCGTGCCTAAAGGAGGTTTTGAGAGGTCTATAGAATGGGAAGAGGTAAGGATAAGAGTTAATGAACAGCACGTTAGTAACTTGCACATCGCCGATGACATTGCATTGCTGAGTAACTCAGGCTACAAATTTCAACTCATGAATACTGAATAAAACCTAAGGTAGGTCTTAAAATTAATCTGCAGAAAACGAAAGTAATGTACAACAACCTCGGAAGAGAACAGCGCTTCGAAGTAAGTGATAATGCACTTCAAGTTGTAAAACATTACGTGAACTTACACCCGGTATTAACCGCAGAGCTGTACCATGAAATTGAAGGAACTAGAAGAATAAGAATGAGGTGGGACACAATCAGCAAGCAGTCAAAAATCATGACTGACATATTACCACTATTCCTCAAGAAAAAGGTATAAGACAGCTGCATTTTGCCGGTACCTTCCTACGGAGCAGAATTCTGGAGGCTCACAAATAGAGTTCAGCTTATATTGAGGACGCCACAGCGAGCGATGGAGGAGAAAATGATAGGTGTAACCTTAAGAGGCAAGAAGAGAGCAGATTGGATGAGGGAACCAACCGGGGTTAAGGATATCTCAGTTGAAATCAAGAAGAAATCGACATGGTTCGGGCATGTAGTGCGTAGACAGGATAACCACTGGTCATTAAGGATAACTGACTGGATTTCCAGAAAAGGCGAGCGGGTTAGGGGGAGACAGAAAGTTATACGGGCAGAGGAGCTTAAGAAGTTTGCGGGTACAATGTGGCAGCAGGAAGCACAGGACCGAGTTGACTGGCAGAATATGGGAGAAGATTTTGCCCTGCAGTGGACGTAGCCAGGTTGATGTTGATAACGACGATGATTATGATGACTGTTTCATTGAGCCTGTAAACGCGTCTTCGGACAAGCGTCTTGACGTAAGATATTGTGCGCGTCTCCCGCCTCAGGCAGTCTTATGAACCTCTGCCCCGTGGTCCCTGGACACTTAGGTTACAAGAATTGATCTCTAATTTGTGAAATGATAACAATGCACATGGTGCTTAAAATGATGAAGGAGATGAGAAGGCGATGCGCTGCATCACTTATTCACTGCTCCTCTATTGAAAATGCTGACACTCAGCTGCATTACGTCTGGCCAGTTAAATTCATGCGATCTACCGTGCAGGCCCGTTTTGTGAAAGCATTGCGATAGTGACTGCTAAAATGTCTTGATCCGGGGATACCATTATTATTCTTCAGGTTTGTCACCTTCACAATTTTACAACTCTAAGGAGACTTTCTTGCATTATGCCAGGCATGTGCAAAGCAAGGGACAAGCATCCGCTTCAGGTTCATAAGTGCACTACTTGAGGCGCTAATGGTTGCCCTCAAATGGCTAATTCAAAGCGGATAGGATCGCCTCTGGAAGGGTTACCCGGACCATAATTCTTCAATTTTCTCCACCCGATAAAGATTATGTGGAACGAAGCTGCCACATCGATTGGGTGGAGGGGAGACAAAATGGGCGATAGGGGATCACTTGATTCGTCAAAGAAGATATTTTGGATTTATGGTAAGATTTAATTTCGCGATGGAGCCATGATCCCATTTGCATAATTTTGGGGAAACAAGCTTTGTTGCCCATCTGTTCATTGCGGTAATATACTCCCTGCGGCCATAACGCCGAAATAAGCTAATAATATCTGCAAATAAAATAGAAAGTACCAAGAAGTAGAACGTAAAACGGACGACTTCAGTGTGCTTGATATACAGACTGTACTGCGTGCCTTTCTACAGTCCCCGTTATTATTTCATTTTGCTAATTTTACCCATTACAATTATGCGAACTACCTCGCTCAGCTCCTTGGTCCATTAGAAAATAACATAGCTGTCCTGTATTTTTCCCCTGCAGATTTTCAATACTGTTGCTTAATTACTTTAACACCACGATCTCATTTTCTAAAGACGTCATCCTAGTATAGTGACGCACCGATCACGAATATATAGGTTCAATGGTGCTCGTGCGTAGGAGGGGAATATTTCTGTCCGGATTTAAACCAGCAGGTATAGCGTCAACGTTGTATTTTCCCACAAGCTTTCTCCCCACATTCATTACGTCTTCTCCATGACATATGACACAGATCATTATCAATTTGCGATTGCAGCTCGTGGTGTGGCCATTCTGGAGAATGCCGAACTGACGACCACGGTGAGCGTCATCGTGGCGCTCATGGTGTTCACGGCGCTCTTCTGCCTCGTCCTTAGGCTCTTCAGCAAGTGAGTACGGCTATGCTTTTCACGCATGCACTTCACTTACAACCTGGTTTGACACCTGCAGTGTATGGCCATTGCACGTTATGTTGCACAAGATCTTCAAGCTCTTAAGATTCATTTGTTTACCACTATTAGTACAGACTATATTAATTGTGACACATTGGTACCTGCACTTTGGGCTGTCAAACGAATGCTTTCTTGGATTTGTATTCCTTGACATCAGTAATTCTCAAAGCCAGAAAGCATTCGACTCACCAGCCCGACTGTTTTTATATAGATATCTCCGCTGTAGCTCTGTATATTTACAGAACTACAGCTGAAACCCTCCGCTGTAGTTATTAAGCACACAAAACGGCAGGTTTAAGAGACCAATAAGTGGCACTTATACCCATTTGTAAAACAGCCTAGAGACGCCATACTGAATCTCAAGAAAGACCTTCGTTTATCTCAAAAGTAGAGTGATGCTATGGCCCCGCCTGTTTCACCTGCCCTGACTGTGATGTACGCTTCAATTACTACCTCCACAGCTTGATATTTGCGTTTCACATCGAACTCACATTCTTTAAGCGAAGCCGCAGACACACTGGAGAAAGTGGAGACGTGACCGTCTTGACAATTGTAACCTGAGCATAGATGAAGAGAAGATCGCTATATCCTAAATTTATTATATTTGTATCGTTGCTTCTACAAGTATACAAAGCTGCTAAAGTATTTACTTGATTATTTAGGTGTTTTGGGCAGCGCTAGGATGTTTCTTGCTAAAAACAATCACAGCATATACACGTAGTGACGTAGTGAACGATGACGAGTGGTGTGAAGCACCAGAGCATTTCATCGCTAAACCGTGAACCATCTGCGAATATCGCCCACTACATTGTCACAGACGCGAGAAACGCTATTTATTTATACAAGAAATTTATTCTTAAATGGTAGCTATGCTTTGCTTCCATTTTTCTTTCATTTGAACGGCTTTATGGTTGGTGAATTAGTAGATCGGTGATAAGGCTTAGTGGGATGTTTGCATGGACAAAGTAGCGGTCAGATTGCAAAGGTCGAACTATGGGAGATCGCGTACATACATGCAATAGATAGACAGGCCCACGTATTTATGAGCTTGGCCCCTTAAAAAGAAATATCTGAACGTCGGCAAGAAGTGTGATTGGCATGATTTTCTTATTATGCCAATCAGCTTTTCGGAGAGGTGCAGTCTCAGACCTAAGACTGAGATTCTGCTCTCAAAGTTGAAGTTATCGTTATTAAAAATAATTAGGAATAAAAAGTCTGTGTGTACTGTGCTGCAACGTACATTTCGTTGTGAGGGATTCCGCAGAAATAGTTTTGAAGATTTGATATTCTTTCACACCCATTTATATTCCAGCACGTAACAGTTCTTTTTTTTATTGCTCAGCATTGCTAAAACACACCTGTCAATGCCGAAAGCCAGATGTGTTGCAACATTGCACCACATCTTAAGCACTGTGTGAGCGATGCGCCTGTCAGTCATACATTTCATTGAACATACATTTGCATTACTGCGCTGCTATTTAGGCCATCAGAGAACTTTTCGACCCTCGTTTTTCGCCACAAAAGGCAATTTACCTAATATTGACGTTCTAACGGACACAGCAGGGCTAGGAGAAAAATTTATTGTTATATAATGTGAAATGCATGCATGTTTGTATTCTTTGCGCTTCAAGAATCACTCAATTATCGGAAGTTCTAAAACTAGGACATATCCTTTTTTTTATTCCTGGCTCATTCATTCGAGCAGTGAAGCGCGCACAGAGCACAGGATTAATCGTGCAGTCATTATTCAAACTCGCTGTGGTCATGTCCAGCGGCAACACCTCGGATGCAGCGCAGCCATCATTATGGGAATATTTATTGCCATCGTGTGGTGGACGATGTCATGCGATAGCGAAATTTCAGAAATAAATTGCCCTTAGAACCAGCCAATGAAGATTTATAGACGATGTGCATTATCACTAGACCTGCATCAATCAAGAATATATTGCTACATGGATATTTTTAAAAAAAGTGTTTACCAGCTTACCGTTATATATACTGCCTCTATAACAATCTCTATTGCAACTTGAGCATTTGGATGAAACCTCCAAGTGTGGATGACACCTTGCGTCGTCTGCAGGCCAAAGCGGATTCACACGTGTGCGAACGTCATACACGCCCTCAGGCACCGCCGCCTAGGTGGCATTGCTTCAGAAGGCCGCGTATTCCATTGTGTTAGAACAGCATCCAAAGCTTGTACGTAAGCCTCCTTGCAATTGCAGACCTTCCGCAAGAAAAAAAAAGCTAGCATCTATGAAGACTAGTTAGCGGTGAATGAAATAAAACAAGGAATTAATGCCACGCACTTCTATAGCGGCATAATACTTGTTAGGAGTGTAATTTTGCTACCGTCGTTTAGTTGTTGCGCGAATAACTTCAGCCGTTCTTACGAGGTTTCTTTATATTGGTTGGCCTGGTGATACAACAAAAATATTCCTCCTTTCAAGCGAAGTTTAGGGCTTCCATTTGTCATTCATCGCTAGAAAGAAAAGCAAATTACACACTGTATTACTCGAGGTTTTTCATGACTAGTGAGTGATAAAACTGAGTTGCCGGTGGCTATTATAGGTTATGAGATACTAATACAAAGTTGCCTACTTTGCTTAGAATTATGTAGCATTAAAGAACCTCAACTCTGACGATGTTTTTTTTATATTGTGGCTTAACTCAAAACTTCGGCAGTTTTTTTTTGAATTTGTATTCTAACTTGAGCACGTGTGCAGCCTTCTTATATAGAACAATGGGAGGTTGCGTATAATATGCACTTGAAGAAAAAAAACACTTTTGTCGCATAACAAATGTGTAGCATTGGTCATTGCCTATTGCCCTGCAAGTAATCAGGAATATAAATTTTCGCGTGGAACCGTTGCATGCATTGTTTTATACAGCTACTGGAACAGTGTACTAGATGTGCCTGCTAAGCCCACGATCAATTCTGTATACGCGAGGTTGGGGGGAGAAGTGGGCCGAGGGCTTACACCTTCCTGTGGTGTTGCTTGTTGAAACAGGTTGTTCCCTTAAACTTGCTGTTTTCTGCAATATCCAATGCATTCAGCAAGTTTACCACTCCAAGATTCCGCGTCCCCACCTTTCGACAGTATTCCTCGCTAAAGGTCTGCCCACCATATACTACTAAGTACACAATATACACAAAAAGTCGCAACGCTTTACTAAAATGAATGATAAGAAAATTCGAGGGGGCCCACGTACCATGCAAATTAAATTGATGCGAAGCATGTGGAGGCAAGATGACAATAGCGTAACTCTTTAAATGCGGGAAACCTTACGAAATAACGCTAACGGTATGTAAAATGTTGGGCACACAGACATGTGTTAGAAAGTCGCACACGTTTGTTTTTGCCTAACAATGTGAACAGCGACATGGGTACTACATGCACCAGCAGCGGTAAGCTGACAAGTAGCACTTATGCTTGCGAGGTAGGTATCTCAGGCTTTCGAACCGTGTTGTACAAACTTTCGAACTGTGTTGTACAGAACGACGTTAGGTAGGTAAGTATACGTAGGTAGGTAGGAAGGTAGGTAGGTAAGCGGGCGGGTGGGCATAGACAGGTATGTAGGGAGGTAGGTGGGTAAATAGCCCCGCAGGGGCGTCTGCGTAAGCAGGCGTTTGGTGTGTAGCGACACCACGGACCTGAGCTAACGGGGAGGTTTCGGCTCCCTCCCACGCCTACCCGTGCGTGGCTGAGCCGTGTCCGGGGAAAAGGGGATCCTGGGGGTTGAGCTGACGCTGGGTGCTTGGAACTTTGAGGCCCCTCGGCAGAGGCAACACACCCCTTTGGCCCTGGCTGCACGTAGATGGCACCCCCGGATTGACCGGCGGGGGGGGGGGGGAATCGGCAGTCGCCTTTTCCTGTCTCCCCTCCCATCTTCGTCTTTTCTCTTACTTTAAATCTTTCCTGTCCTCTACTCTCTTCTGTGGACTTCTGTGTTTCCTGGCGCAAGGGTTTACCCTGTGTGGGTATCCTACCTTGGATACACCATATTCGGTTATAGTGGTGGTGTACAGCTGGCGTCTGCAGGGCCTGTGCTTACAGACCCAGCAGCGTCCCCTTGTAGGACTCCATGGTGGGTGGCTGGCGCCGCTGCCGAAAATAAACCTTTTCATATGGCTAGTTCCTTCCCCCCCCCCTACCTGATCGCCCTTAGAAAAGAGGGCGCACCGATGAAGTCTTCCAGTTTTTTGGTCACCAGAAAATATTCTTTCCTCAATTCCACGTTATTCACACTGACACACTCGGCAAACCAGTGCGAACACTTTCACCAATTCTTGTTTCGAAGTCTTTGACAGAAATCTTTGGCCCAAGATATAAACCACCGACAATGGCAAGTGGTGGCCTCCCGTTGGAGCTCCGCGACCAGAAACAATATGAAAAATTGTCTAATATAGTGAAATTTGGAGATACCAAAATAATACTAACCCCACACCGAACCATGAATACCACCCGTGCCGTTGTTTCATATGATGACCTGTTAGGGCTGACGGAGGCTGAACTCCTGGAAAATTCAGCAAACAGAATGTCATCAACGTGAAGCGAATTAGGATGAGGCGTGATTGAAAAGAAGTCCAGACTAAGCACTTGATACATACTTTCAATTCAAGTGTACTGCCCGACTCCATTGAGGCTGGGTACATCAGGCTTCGAGTTAGGCCGTATATACCAAACCCTCTCCGATGTTTCAAGTGCTAGCGGTTCGGCCACAGTTCACAGAACTGCCGAGGCTGCCTAACTTGCACCAAACGCAGTGCTGAAGAAGAAACATTTTAAGCCTGTGAAAACTCTCTTCACTGTGTGAACTGTAATGGGGCATGCCGCATACTCACGGTCATGCCCATGCTGGAAAAAAGAAAAGGAAATTGTCACAATTAAAATAAAACAAAACATTTCCTTTAAGGAGGCACGAAGGCAGGTGTCCTA